AAAAAAAAAAAAAAAATAGAATTAAAGTGATCACCACGGTCCACGGAAATTAAAAGTAAATTGGGCTAGAATTTTAAAAACTCATTTCATAAAAATCACATAATATCTTTTATTTAAATATTCACTGAAGTTGTGCTCAACGAGATTTTACAGAATAAAATTCATCAATGATAGAATCTATACTTATAATATTAGCAAAATCCCGTTCTATGAAGGAATCAAACAATTTTCGAGAAAACCATCCCCAATTTTATTACGAAGTGTTGTCTTCACATGCTTTATGGCCGAAAAAACTCGTCATATTGTAGTAGTAGAAGCCGGTAACATCAGAAGTAGATGGATCAATCTAGATAGTTAACATAACATACAATTTCGATCCACCACTCTGTTAATTTCTGGCATAATTCAACGAGCTTAGATGCCTGAAAAATCTTAATGGTGTGTGTCGATCCAATAATAATAAATTCTTGTTATTAAAATAATTGTAGTAGTGGTAAGCAGTCGTAATCACAGGGATTGGTTAGACAAAGTATCGATGCAATTATATGTGAAAGAAAAAAAAAATGATGGGGGGTTTTTGATGATTTTATCTAACTAAGAAAAATAAAACAAAATAAGATTTAAAGAAAGACAAAAATAAAACGAGTGATTTAAAATAGAGAAAATATCCAACCGGCGTGCATTAGCACGTATTCTCAATGTGTATCGATGTCCTGCATACGTGTCCCACTCTCGTCCGATCGTTGGAGCTGAGCCACCAAGTGCGTGCCCGTGCACCGAGTCCGACCGAGCTGCGCCCCTGCGCTCTGCCAACGCCTGTGCGTCCGTTCAACCTACCGTCAACATGTTGTCTCCGTTAGCCGTGGCCCAAGCACGCCCCCGCGACAGTGGTCGTGGTACCGTTTAAAGCCCGTGCGTTGGTGAAGCCGTGTCAGTCGTGTTCGTGCAGGCCCCGAGTTGCCACGCTGAATGTAGACCACGGTTAAGCCGACCTGCACATAGTCAAATGAGTATTCGGTCGGTTCCGAGTGAGTCGCGGGTCCAGTCCAGTCGGGACAGTTCGAAGAATCCCAGTTCAGCGAATCAGTCCAGGCAATCTGGATGGTTCGGGAGTTTCAGTTCAGAACATCGGTTTCAGCGTGATTCAGTGTTTTTCCAAACCCTGTCAGACTAGAACCAAGTCAGAATATAGTTCAAGACTTAGAAATATTACAGAGAACTCTAGTATGTCTCAAAGACAATAAATTTTCAAAATCAGCTCGTAAATTCCTAAAAATGAGTTTAAAATGATTTTTAGAACTGGACAATCGAACCTAATCAAGTCAGATAATAAGAATCGAGTTTTCATATTGAGCCTAGTACTTAGAATATTTTGATCAAATCTCTAGTAGCTTGAGGAGAGTTGAGCCTCCACTTACTATATAGATAGTCCAGCATTTGCATTTTCCAGCATAATAGGTAGGGACCCTGTACTGTGTATCTCACTGCTTTTAATTGCTTATATTGTCTGAGGTATGTGTGTGAGTAAATTAAGGACCGAGACGAATGAGTGATCACGTCTTCGTCAAGAATTCTAGTTATGACTTAGATGAGTGGTGCGATGCCCAACCTAAGTCTAGCGTCCAGAAGAGTGGTGTCGATGCCCAACCTGGATTTCTATGGGAGGGGACCCCCAGAGTGTGCACATGAGTACTGGATTACCGATAGTCCCATAGTTAGCCATTTATTTATACATATGTCAATTTCGTGATTTGTAATTAACTATGATGAATATTAAGTGCCAGTTCCAGCGGAGCACGTGGATTATTTATGCTCACGCTCCTCACTAACCATTTTTCAAGTGACGGAGTCTCGTGTGGCGCGTGAGCCTGATGTGGTGGTGGTAATAAGCGAGGATAATTTTTAGTAAACACGTCGTGCATTATTGAACATGTTTGGGTTGTTTATGTTTTGTTTAATGCTTGTTTATGTTTTGTTTGAAGTTGTATTTGCTTCCACATTCAGAACAGTATTTCAGAATTCATAATTTTAGCTTATGCATGCCTAATTCCAATATCTTTCATGGCGCCTATTAAAGTAATAAATTTACTGCACACATAATAGTAAAAGAGAAAAGAGAAAGAGATCAGATTATGTTGAGTAGCATCCCGCAGTTAAAAAAGTATTTTTGATGCTATTAATATGAGATTTCGAAAATTAAATTAGTAGTTTTTCAAATATAGCGCGAAAAATTTACTTTGATTTTATTAAGTTTTTAGACGGGGTGTTACAGTTGGTATCAGAGCTGGTGAGCGGCTCTGTATACTAAAACTCTAGCAATATATGACCACACCACGCTCAAGCCGCACCGACTCTGAGTTACGTCACCTGAACCAATCTTTATTATTGCGAATGCATAATTATCATAGTCAGAGTAGTTAAGGGGCTTATGATTTATCCTTTGATAAGAATGAGAACCCTAGTCAGAATTCTAGAAAGTTGAGCTGAGTTCAAACTCTAGACTAAATCAGAACTCTAGCCAAAACTTAGAAGAGTTAAGTATAAACTGAAACTCTAGCCAAGTTAGGTGTTTTCAGCTCCAAAAGTTTTCCAAACATAAGTCTAAATCATTTGAAACTTGAACTTTACCCACCTCTCCAAAGCATGTAAATATGGGCGGATATTTTGCTAAGTATTGGGCCAACTTAAGAAGGCTTGAGGCCGAGTAAAACAAGGGGCTCGGGCAAAAGAAACAAGTCCCTAAGGTCTAGATAAAATGCTTGTGAAAATAACGAGAACGGATCGAAATTAACTTATGCGATTAAACCGAAATTCTTCGAAAGATTCGAAGAACGATAAATAAAATACAATCGAGCTAGCACAAAAATAACATAAATAAACCACAAGCAAATAAATCAAATAAGGCATAGAAAATAAAATAAAATGTCGATAGATAAAATATAAGTACGAGAAATAATATCAATCGAAAGGCGCACTACAAACATTGTACATGAATCCCGTGACATGGTGTTGCTAGCGGAATATGGTTTCATCTCCGATTTTTCCTTCTTTTAAAAAAAGTCGCCTATAACAACCCCACAATCCGATGGAAAGTTAGGAGCTCCATAATTTTGATATCCTATTTTTCCCCTGCTTGAAGAGCGCATTCAAAGATTTCACTCGTTGTGTTGTTCTGGTCATCCCCGTAAAATTCCCTCGAAGATACGCTTCACACAATTGGTTTCTCTAATTATAAGTATCTTTCAACCACGGGTTGTCCGCCACATCATGTTTGTCTGCTTCTAATTTCCATTCAAATTCAAACTTTTTTGGAGTCCAATTTTTCATTAGAATTCGTAGATCTTCACTCTATGTACACATTTTCTCTCGATATGCCATGCACATAGCCTATGTTTAGCGTGGGGTAAAACCTTCTTTATTGCGCAACACATAGCCTCATCTTGATTAGTGACAATGGTGGTTAACTAATATTCGAATGGTGGTTAGCAACAATATCTACTATTCGAATGTCTTATTATGCAGCAACGCCCCACCAAAAGTTGTGCTATTTAGGTGGTTATCTATTCTCGAAAATATGAACAAAGGGAATTTGCACGACTTTATTTTGTACAAATTGTCAAAAATCATAATATCACCAAAATGTGAACATGCTGCCTGGGGAGTAAATAAAAATTCCATCGAAAATTGCATATTTCAAAGAAAACTTCTACTATAAAAAATCGTTTAAAAAATAGTCGTTAGAATCATCAAATTTTGTCTAAAATTTCAATAGAAAACTCATTGGAATATTTTTTTTGAAATCATTCTAACAGAAACTATATATCATTGGAATTTTCATTGAAATATACTACCGTATTATTTTTTTTTCCAAACGATAATAGATCTCATATCAAATAAAACCAAAGAGTGCAAATCAGAGGGCTTACTAGCCCTTACAAGAAGAAACAAGACACGGGAGAACCACACCTACAGTGGCCTCTTTGCCCCCTTCTGACTTCACTGCGCTTCGCTTTGTTCGTTGGGTAGTCTTGCTGTAGTTCCCATTTTCGAATTATCAGGCAAGTGCTGCGCTTTCAGCGCCTTTGGCCTCAAAGAGTCTCGATGCAAAATACAATTCAAATAAAATCGACCCAAAAAACTAGACCGAAGCCACTGGACATAAATCACCTAGCCTCGGTCCTAACCAAATTAGACAAACAAAATTCCGTTTGCAATGTCTATTTTCTGAATTGAAATATAACATTTTTTTTGTAGTGATCTATTTTCAATTAATATTATTTTTATTCAATGTCAAATTCATGCAATGTAAAATAAATTAAAAAAAAAACTCATATCACCATTGAAGATACTCAACATTTGCCATAATTTATTCTTTTACATACACATGTTAGTATGTTACATATATAACAATGAAGTCTATATCTTATTCCGCAACTGGGAATGTGTTCATGGATTTCTAGCACAGTCTTGCAGATTGAAAAGCATCTCTCTCTTATCGGTGTCAATGACAATTTTGTGATTGGTCTGGGCCTGAGCCCCGATGATGGTCATCATGGGATCCTTAATCATCGCCAGACAAACGTTCTCGCTTGGCTTACCCAAGCGCTGCACCCCAATCACCTTGAACGCCGCCTGCGGCTTCATCATGAGTCCGCATTCGAGCCCGCGAGGTGAAACGTAATCTCCGGCAAACTTTTAAACCCCTGGGGACTCATGCTCGACTCGTAGCAGAGCTCAAAAGCACCGTATCCCACGTTCATTTTCTTGAACCACTTCCACCCCTGGAAATACGCATCCACCTCTCATTTCAGAACATCAAACGCGCGCGCCACGAGTCTCGTCACCGGACAACCCGTGTCGATCACCGTGCCGATGTTAAGCCTTAACTCGTTAGCGTTTATGTTGAGCCTTTTTTTGTTGAGGCTTATTCCTTGCATGTCGAGGGAATAAAACTTAGTTCCCGGTCTTCTTTGCAGTGGGGTTCTCCCGATTTTCACGGATGAAGGGGTAGGCGTAGTGTTCCCGAAAGTAAGATACGATTGGGAAGTCGTAGTCAAGGGAAGGGGTGATAGACAGTAGGAGAATTTCGAGCTTATGGAAGTAAGAAAAGGGGAGTCCCAACCAAGCCCCATAACCCCGGCAATCCGGTTGTGCCCGTTGACTTTCTCGAAATTCATATTATTGTTTACCATGCCGCACCCGAAAAGGACGCCGGGGATTTTTGACACGCTTCCTGATTTCGACTTCAGATGGAATGTTTCATGGGCAAGAATGCCGAACGTACTTGATTTGTCGGCGTATGTGAGATTGAACGGTTGGGGAAATCCGGTTCTTCCGCCAGTGTTGGCAAAGGATTGTGAGTTTCTATAGGGGAATGGGGGTGGAGTCTGGTCGAAGCATTTTGTGCAGCCGTGGCATTGCATCCAGACTGTGGAGCTTCCAGTGTCCATATGTAGGTAGTATTCCTTGTACGGAGGGTTAGTGGATGGGATAGTGCAGATCCCGACTTTCACAATGTAGTGATAAGTCTGCACGTCTATGTGAGCCGATATGGGTGTTGTTTGCGGTGTGGGTGGTGTTCGCGTTCTAGGTGGTGTTCGCTGTGTGGGTGTGGGTGGTGTTCGTGGTATTGTTCGCGATTGTTGATTGCCGGAGTTTCCAAGTGACGCTAAGTTTAGCAGGAGGACAATTAAGATTATTGTTGGAGAATAATATAGTGAGATGGCATATGCAGCTGTTGTTTTCGCCATTGCTAGTTAGTAGCAGTGTTTTTGTGTTGGTTGCATTTGCTCATTTATATGTAGCTATCATCTCCGTCATGGTTATTTAGTAAGTTTTGCCATTTATAAATGCGATGTATGTGAACTTAATGACAGAGTTGGAAGGATATGGAACCGAAGTATTTTAGCTTATCTACTTATGGCTTAAATGAGAGATGATGAGAAAGTTGATTTTAGATATGTTCCTTACAGCCATACTAGGGAGTATGAATAGACTAGTGCATTTATCTCATCTTCTTCTTCTTGTTCTTTTTTTTTTTTCTT